AAACTAAGATACAATTAGTTGGTTTGTTAACCATTCAAACTATGAATAATCATTCAACTATTCATTTAGTCACTGATGGATTCTGGCCAACGGATGTTAACTACGCTACTGTCAAGTAATCTAACATGCCTAACTGCAACAGTTTTCATAGTTAAAGAGACAGTCAGAAAAAATCAGCGTAGAACCTTGGACACAAGTGTATCGGTTCGAATTACCACAGTTTGCACTAGTATACAAAGGACAAAGTGACATCAAAGTAGACGAAGTTGTCTAGTAGAATAAATAATTTGAAGATAGTGGTCATTGAAAATAGTCAACCTCGAGAAGACATTGAAGGGTGAAAAGGTCTCCACCATTCTGATCGATTTTCAGCCATATCAGTAAGAGTCGACCCTCAACCACTGATTCATATGGTCTCAAGGACCTCAACTAAGTAGTCTACATCTCCCCACACGCCTCAGGTAGACAGTTAAAGTCTTCATGGACTGGAACTACGTTTTGGTTTGACTATCTTGAATCCTCTTCCACGATAATCCAACTTCCCCAAGCTTGGGATGAAGAAGTAGGTAGTGGCTTGGCATGCGCAGCATATGTCCAGGCCATCTCAGTTGACTGAGGTTCACAACCTTATCAGTAGACTTGTCTGCTTTGCCTAGTATCATTCGCATGACCTCAACGTTGCTCACATGGTGATTCCACCATGGTATATAAAAATGTTGTTCATCACTTCAATACGACTCTGTCGAAGTCACACATTGATTTTAGGGTAAACTTTTCCATGAAGTGATATCGAGTAGGGGATCGGTGAAGACCTTGGGGTACTGGAAAGCTGTTTCGTCGTGTTTTGGGACTCCTCAGCAATGTACAGCCACGTTCACAACAAGGGTCGACCCCAGAATCATCGGGTCTGATGATGAACACGCTACTACTTAGACACAGTCGGAATGAAGTGATGCACGTTTCCCTATTTCACCCATCAGTCGGTCACTAAAAGCTTCCAAAATGAGTCAAGTATTTACTGATTTATGAGGTTCTTATAAGTCATATCTATAACCCCAAAATAAACTTGTCTTTATTATTAGGACATAATTATCTTGGTCGGGTTGTCTTCTCTGAGGTGGGTGGTTTATTCAAGAAGCTTTCATTGTCTTTTTAGACAACATCGTCAGCAATAACTTCATTTTGAAGTTAAGTGTATTGAAAGTTTGTTTTCTGTGCTAACTGGGAAGTCAATAATTTTATGTTCTTGAACTCAACGGGCTAATCTGTTGGATATTAGACATATCCGTTCCTTCTTTAGAGGGCATCGGTACTGCTGGGCTCTACCTCATGACATCATATTCTTGGTACAGCAATCCACAGGGTCTATGGTGCCTACTTCGGTCATTAAACGTGATTATATTGACTATCAAAACAGAACCTTCGGGAAGAAGACTCGGAAGCAAGTCAGTCCCTCATAATGAAAGTTACTTGTTTCTGATTAGTTATCCGAAGGATAATCCTACTTCTCATGTTGCTGACACGCGCTAACTGTATGTTGTTAGCGCTCAATGTGCGAGCTATACATACGATGACTTCTCCTCAGAAAATAAGTCCTTGTTTTACACTGGATTCGAATTAAAGGCTTTTGACCTGTCAGTTTGATGAGTTAATAAGTTAACAAGACTTGATGAACACTTATGCTACAGTTTGACCTCAATCACTAAATTTCTTGCCCAACCATTGTTATTTTTTATTACACTAGTTACTCAATCATTTCGATCGCCTTTATTTTGTGCTACGTAATCCTTTATATGGATTGGTTAGTCATCATTTTCCAAAAGAATCTAGCAACTAGTTCACTGCTCATCAACTGTGTACATTTCACAATTAGTAGATTAGTTTTGATGCATTTTTGTAATACAACAGACGATAACGGGTTATCGCATCCTAGAAATTATGTCAAACATGGATAGTAGTACTTGTTTATGTCTAAAAGTCTATCTAGTCTATATTAAGGTCAGTTATGAATATATTCATAAAATATGCATGAATCTTTTTGAGATTTTTTATCAAAATTTTGGTTAAAACAAAGTGTAGTCAATAAGTACAAAGTCTGTAAACCATATTTTTAAGGTGTATATATGAAGTACTGCCAAGAGCCAGCCGTTGTTATCGGATAAAAACGATTGAAATGGTAAATTTTACTATTTAGAGATGATAACCATCGGTCGTCTATAGAAGAGCAAGTCATAAAAATTATACAATAATCAATAAACATGAGGTGAAGAAATTAACTAAATATTAAAAAAAAAAAACGAACTAGAACAAAAATATGGTGTTTTGGACATGAAGATATGATGGTAATTTGATTTCTTTTTACTAAAAAAATGCGACAGAAAAAGGTAAGAAGGTGTTTAAGACACACTTCCTTGGTAGCAGTATTTATTCTTTATTATTATTATTATTATTATTATTATTATTTGGAATACAAAATATGGCATCATGAAGCTGTGAATTGTTTCTCTTAATTCTTTTGTAAGGTGCATCAGACTGTGAATGTATGAGAGAGTGAAATAAATATCGAGAGAAAAAACGAGAGAAGAAGAGAAGAGCATATATATATATATATGTATCTGTGAATAATACTGTTTTACTTGTATTAAGAATGCAAATTTGAGCTTAGAAGTGTAATAGAAGTGAATATTATGCTTTCAAGAATGTAGACTAACAAACAAAACTGACAAGTGGATAGTACTTTTTGGTGATTGACTTTGATGAGGCGTATTACTTACAACCTCAAGGGAAAATAATAGCTACATGTGAAAATGAGGTACAGTGGTTGAAAATTTGTCACTGAAAGCCTGTTTCGTCCTAATATGGGACTCATCAGTTATACCTTTTCCGATTATCTCGTAAAATATCGATTCCAGGATTTTCAGGCACTACGGTGATCTGACAATGGCACTAGATGAAGCATGTGCTACATCACCAACTGACAGAAGTAGGAAAATGTGCGCCAGCAGATCTGGAACCTGGACCTAAATGGCGTAGATTTGATCCCTGGCAGCGAATTGCTGAGGACGCCCCTATACTAATGCTAAAAGGTGTTCAGTGACACTGCTACTGATGTCAAACTATGGTGGGTACCAAATCGGTTCAGTAATGACTATTCTACAGAAATCGAATGTCATGTGGCTAAGTTTAAAAGTATTCGACAAAAGAAAACTGTCCTATGAAGGGAAAATCTTAGAAAAAAACATCAAATCTACACTAGTTACTGTTTGACTGAAGTGGCATGAACTTAGGATTGCTAAGAGGTTTGAATTTTTTTCTGCCGGTCAGTTTAATTAGCATACTAGGAAGCGTGATGAAACATGAGCCATCTTGTTTTGTAGGAAGACTGTAAGTATTTAAAATCAAATTGTGTGCCAACAACTTAAAAATCTGGAATAAATAAAATTATGCTGTAGTTAAATTCCTGGGAATAACACGATATATATGAGCCTAATTCTGAAATATATGAGAACCATTTTCTTAGCATGGAGATGATAGAGAATATTTGTAGCTCAGGAGGATAATTCTGATGGTGTTGTGTTCTCCGGGCTGGATTGTTTAATCATAGAGCTTTCGTTGTCATTCTGGACAACATCAGCGCAAACTAAACAAAGAAGTGAGTGATAAGGTTTTCGCTGCACTTTATTTAGTAGCTTATTTTCATGGCCTTGTGTGTGTGGTTCGTTGCTTCTGACAAGGTCTTGTCTTTGTATTCATGTTAATTTTAGTTGGTTATCCTAATGACCTAAAAATTGACCTACTTGTTGTCTCTAATTGCTTGATAGATTGGGTCAAAGTCAGTATATCTGTTGATTGGTGACTAACTTGAATACCAAGCTTCTAGAAATTCTTTGGCATTCTTCGTGTTTCCTCTATCCTGAATTTTCACATTTTCCTAGTCGAATTCATGTACACAGTTGTCTGTGTGCATTGATACAAGCGAAGACATTTCATGACGCTTCACTGCCAGTTGATGTTTAAGAAGACCGATGCAAGGAATGCAACTACTCTGTTCCATGTAGTGTTTTTCGAATTTTCTGCAGTTTACTTTGTCAATAATATTTAGTTTGTCTTCATTTGTTATTGTATCTTCTAGTCTGTATAACGGAGAGTGAAGAGATTTTGTGAGCTTGCAAGATACAGGGATTCCAAAAGGCTTTAAGAATCTCGTCGTGATCTCGGAGACGTTCTTCATGTAGGATTGGATTGCATATTCTATGATAAAAACCAGTAGACTGAATACTTTCCACCTATGTTTCATTATCTCCAGTACAACTGAAAGAGGTGGATCTGTAACCATAGCAAAATTGGTGTTGTTTGAGAAATCAAAATCTATATCACTTAGATCCACAATCATACTTTTAACCATCAAGAATTCGATAAGTATATTCAGGCATAAATGTGGTGATGCTTCAATATTGTCGATGACAAGGCTACAAGCTACAGAACCAAAGTCCACCCATTTCAAAATGAATAGTTGTTATGACTTATTAGCCTGGTGGATAATCCTCTGACGTTTAAATCAATGGGTTCTCGGTCCGAGTCTTAGTAGGAACCTTACTTACTAAGAGGCACATATATTTTGCTGACAAGTCCTAAATAGGATGAAATTTACATCCTGACGTTGTTATCTAAAGTCTTACTATTCATATGCATTGAGTGACCAAGCAATTAAGATTTTCTGTATTCATATATATAATAAAGTGGTGTGATTCCACTCTGATTCCGGATTTCACTTGATTGGTGGAGAGATGAGATTTGGTCGGGTGATCGGTTGCTATTGAAAGCCATTTTAGGTTGCGTTAGCAAAACAATCATATTTAACTCTTTATGGAAACATTAGACGAAATTCTAAAAGTTCAACTTAAATTTATAAACAACAACGAGTTAGTTGAATCAACTCCTGTGATTTGATTCACATAAAAGATCAAATTTAATGAGAAATAATTTTTCAAACAGCTTACTTTTACTGCTTCATCATAACCTTGACGAAGGTATCGACCAATCCGAGTAAATGGAGATAATTGTGTCCAGCATGTTCTTAAACTGCATGATCCTGAAACGCCATGGCATTTACATGCTACTGAGGCTAATTTGTAGACAGCCTAGAAGAATGCAAAAAGCAAATTGTAAAAAAATATTTAAAGATAATATATAGCTGTACAGCTAGCTATGTAAGTCATATGTCTCCTGAAGGCCAACAAATTTTGAAGACGCTTCAACATTCAGTAATTCGTATTGTACAATCGTATATTGCTATGGACTGTCATCAACTAAGGTGGCTACCATATGTTTAGCACATGCCTAGACACTGTCCATCTTGACGAACAACGCTAGCTAAAATAGTTCTAGGTTGAAAAACGTTTTGAGGAAGCCAAAATAAAATATATCAGTCAATAAAGTCGATGTATGTTGTTCTGAGTTGTGAAGAGGGATTCAAGCTTCTCACTTGGGATCCAGGTGATAAACAGAATTGGTGGTTGGAGACTCGACGCGATATGGCTTAGAAACTGAGATAGCGGCGTGGATACAACCAAGTTTTATATGAAAAATTATTGCTGCTACTTTTGACTACTTTTTTCTTCTATTTTGAATTTACGCTAAAACAAACTGTGACAAATTAGACCATCTCTCAGTAACGCCAAGTCTCATAATGACTTAGGCTGAATGAGTGATATGATATAGAGAGTTGTAAGACCTTGGAAGGTGTCAGATAACTAAAATGTATTATTTTGGAACCACTTATATATGAGAACGTTAGACTTACTTTATGATTTGTTCTAAAACCCTCCTGTTTCGGGGTAAAGGGAAGCATACTAACACTAAACATCTAAAGCTTGTTTCAATTTTCATAGGTAATAAAACTCACTCATTTCGTGGTGAATCTGAAGAATAGTATCAACTAGTAATCGCTAAGAGTATAAGTAAACAAATGACCTTGATGAATCAATCATATCGTAAATATGATGTTGATCAGAGAAGAAGTAATTGTACTATTTGCAATTCTGTATTTCATATACTCTATTGTTGCTTGTATATACCAATCACACAAGAAGTGGCTATCATGACACGGTAGTCTAGTGGATAACGCTCTGACGTTTGACGCAGTCGGTTCAGAGTGTGAGTCCTAGGAAGAACAACATTGCCTCCTGGGAGGCAGGTACATCCAGATGACGAGTCCCAAATGAGGGAAAGAGCGCTTGCTGGATTCCACTGCTAGCCGCTATCCACCAGTAATGTATTTAAGATATATATATATATATATATATATATATATATATATATATATATATATATATATATATATATATATAATAGATTGCTAGGTCATCTTATGTGCTACATTTGCAAAGTTAGTGTTGAACTGGATCCTTATAATAAAATGAAAAGTAATCATGATTTTGGTACTTGTCTTGTGTAGGTCTCTGAGACCATGCCATGGGTCATTCCTTCAACCAGTTAATGTGGGATTCATTTTTTTATCTTTGATGGATCCTTAGTATACACTCAGTTTCTTCTGGTGCTACCTATTTGATGCCATGAACACGAATATCTTTTCAGTAGAATATGTAGCAAATTATGTTCTTGAAGAATAATAGCTCTTATACAAAGAATTAATGCATATAAATAAAACAGTAGAGTAGGATTAGTCCAGTTCTAGGATATGCACAGCTAACAGTATTTCATATGTCACTCAACATCGTGACGTCATGAGTCTCAATCTCTGAGCATCTTAACACGCCTTAACATAAAGAAATATGCACGTATCAAAGTGACTATTAGTGACGGATAGTCCGTAGCAATGAATTCCAGGATGCGCATTTTGTCCTATTTGAGACTTGTCAGCTGAATATACCTACCTTCCAGTTAGTGATATTATTCTCATCAAAACTCCAGGCTATGACCGATCACTTCAAACTCCTGAGCGTTATCCACTAGACCACCAAGTCACCATAGCTACTCCCTTTGCGATCCGTACAGTTTTTATGTTAGTGCCTGCTACTGTATGATCGATGAAGGGAAATTACAAGCAATAATATGATTACGCTATATTATTTTGAAAGAGTTCGGGCATGCAGTGATAAAAAGATTGACAGATTTATGAAATCACTGATTAGATTAGAAACAGAATATGAACGTGTATGCTTTATATTCGCATTTATGAACGATTACTAAAAAGCAGTCGAACGTTGTCTCTTCCAACGGAGCCGATAATTAAGGTACTTCGTTTGGTTATGACTAGCAGAGGAATCCAGGGCGCGTGTTTCATCCTACTTGGAACTCATAAGCTGCATGTACCTGCACCTCAGTGAGTGATGCTGTCCCCACTGAGACTCGAACCTCGTACACATCACTTCAAATGGCAGGGCGTTATCCACTTTACCGCGGAGGAACGATAGCCACTTCTTATACAACGAGTTGTCGTTATTACTGTTTGTTGATATACTTAGAATTATCCGTTGTTTTATCAAATCGAATTGTTCGATAATTGGTACCAATGGTGATTGGTTTATAGGATCCCTATTGAAAGTATGAATTTACATTCAACAGATAAAGTGTGAAATATTTAGAGATTTAAACTTTAAATTATCAGAGGTGAGAGACCATGAAACTCATCAACTCTCAAAATATTTTGGACTAAACTATTTCATATGGCGTCTGAAAACTCATAAACGTTTTGTTAACAACTACTGATAGAAAACGAGGCTGAATGTCATATATCCTACAACTTCCTTTGTTAGTCAGTGTGCTAATTCACTTCAGAGGTCTAGGCTCTTAGGTGGTGTAAGTAGAAAAGTGTATTTGTTTAAACTTGATAACTATTTAAATATGTCTATCTTGCATGAAATTGTTCTGAAGGTTATTAGAAAAAAAATTAATAGTTCTTGTCCCTCTCTGTGGCGAGTAGATAATTTTCGACAACCGCTAGAAGTATTATATCATTATGAATCTTATTGAGAAGCATTTAATCAAAAGTACAAAATTTTATCAGTATTGTGTATATCAATTATGTTGACTAATGAGGTATAACACTAAGAATTTACCACTAAACAAATGTCTAGGCAACTCGATTACTAATTCATACATATCATATTAACTGTAGTTTTGTTTGTGACAACAGAATCTCTTATATCTGTCTGAAGGTGAATTCTTTGCTAAATAATCGAAACACACCACTATTGTATGTTTCACAAAATTTTGTTATTCACTCAGATCCAGTGTTTGGACTGAAGTCAGACTATTACCAATATTATTAACATTCAGTTAGGGATAATTATTTTTATTTTTTATATAATTGTTGCCTACTATCATCAAAGATAATCTTCCTGATTGTAGTCAACTGAACTTGACTCGATTGAACTGGACTGGATCATGAAACCAACAACTGTGAGGAGTGAGAAGATGGCCATACACTGTTTAACCGATGAGAAGACCTCAGGGGAAGATTTGACTTCCCATGGTGATGATTTATGCCTAATTCCTCATGTCGTACAAACTCGAAGATGTACAGGCGAAAACTAATAAGTCGGTTGAGGAGGTGAGGTGAGGCAAGGCAGCGAGGGAATATGGGACTTCTTTCAGACGAGCCTGGATAAAATAGAGGTGATGAAGATACTTAACCAACATTAACAACAAAAACAAACAACAATCACCATGAACGGAGAAACATTAAGGAAGTTGTCTCTTCCACCTACATAGGCAAGGCAGCATCGTCTCAACTACTCGTGGTGGCGGTGACGGTGGCGGTGGCGGCGACACAGATGACGATGTCAAAGCCAAGATCGGAAAGACAGCAAGACAGACACACAGGCCTTCCTTCATCAATCTGAAATCAGTGTGCACATCAGCTGCACTCCACTCCACTGCACTGCACTACAATGCAATGCAATGTAATACAATGCACTCAGCATAAAATGTGAACAACATCCGAATTTTCAACACTAATGTCAGTCAAGTCAGTCAGTGCTTCTGTGTGATGGTTGAGAGAGTTGGTGGTGCGTTACGAAAAGCATTTCCAAGAAACTGGAGACAAGCATCAACCAACAGTTGCCACCTAAGCTCTCTCACTCGATAGTGAAGATCAGATGAGATGGTCGGAATAATAAGGATAGGCAACAAGGAACTCTGATCTGGAAACGAATCAACCAAGAAGTTATCGCCCAACGAATATGGGGAAGAAGGAAGTGGAGATGGATTGGATAGGACGTAGACTGAGAAAACCGTTTGATGACATCACGCACCAGGCCCGGTCAGGCCAGGTCGTCGAGTGTAACCGGAGTGTGAAAGGACGAGTTGGGTGTCCGAGGTGAGGGTGAAATGGAGGAGATGGTGTGAGGAGGAAATGAAAGTTTATGAGGGGAGTCGTGGAGTCAGGTTGAAAAGACTGCAGAGAAGAGAGTGGAATAGAGACGTGCTACTGAAGCTCTATCTTCCATTAGGAACCAAAGGGACAAATAATAGTAAGGATGATATTTATTTTTATAATATAGCAATTATTCAATAAGGTGAAAACTTACCAAACGTCCAGCTCTGTTATTATGTAAATTCATTAGCATACGCGCCAGTTCATTTGAATGTCTTGGATAACTTTTCTCTTTCTCTCTAATATCAATGAATGCTTTAGCAAATCTATAGGCATAGGCTATATTATCACCGCAACCACCCCATATCCAATCACGATGAAGTTGATCTGGTCGATCAGCTTTAGAGCAACCACATGAATATAATCGAGCTTCTTTACAACTTCTTGCTAAGGCATGTACAACACCGGCAGCAGATATTGCATGTGCAAAACCAGCTTCACGACTACCTGGTATAAATAAACATTTTTGAGGAATAAAATCAGTAATAATTTAGTATCGTAAATAAATAAAAATGAAAGCAGTGAATAAATTTGTCATAGTGATCAGAAGAAATTTTTCAATGATATACAAACTTGATACTTTTCACCACCGATACTGAAAACATTTGATTCAATTATGAACCATTCAGACTGTTATTTGGTAGGTAGCATTTAGAATTGAAGTCAAATTTGATAGGATAATACTTATTATCTGACATCATCTGTGAAAATCAACAACAATGTATAGCAATTCGGAAACTTTCTGTGAACCATATCTATTGCAAGTAGATGAAAGATAATTTCCAGCTGCCAAAATCTTTGTACATAGAGTAAAGCTCAAACCTTTAACTTTTTGGTTGAAAAACAGAAATCCAAGTCAGTCAGTGACATATCTACTCTCCTGTCACTAAGATCACCGGATCGATAACTTAGTAAAGGGTTCGAAAACCTAACTCCTATGAAAAATCTTGAAATATTGATCACAACCCTATTCGGTGTATAAATGTACAGTCAGAGACCTATAATTCCGATAAGATAAGGATTTGAGAATCCATCTAATGAATGCTCTCATCGAAAGGAACTATATTATATTTGGCGTTATGTAGCTGATATTAACTAGTAATTTGATATTGCTTTTATCATTATTGATCCCTTTGGTTCCTAATGGAAGATAGAGCTTCAGTAGCACGTCTCTATTCCACTCTCTTCTCTGCAGTCTTTTCAACCTGACTCCACGACTCCCCTCATAAACTTTCATTTCCTCCTCACACCATCTCCTCCATTTCACCCTCACCTCGGACACCCAACTCGTCCTTTCACACTCCGGTTACACTCGACGACCTGGCCTGACCGGGCCTGGTGCGTGATGTCATCTAACGGTTTTCTCAGTCTACGTCCTATCCAATCCATCTCCACTTCCTTCTTCCCCATATTCGTTGGGCGATAACTTCTTGGTTGATTCGTTTCCAGATCAGAGTTCCTTGTTGCCTATCCTTATTATTCCGACCATCTCATCTGATCTTCACTATCGAGTGAGAGAGCTTAGGTGGCAACTGTTGGTTGATGCTTGTCTCCAGTTTCTTGGAAATGCTTTTCGTAACGCACCACCAACTCTCTCAACCATCACACAGAAGCACTGACTGACTTGACTGACATTAGTGTTGAAAATTCGGATGTTGTTCACATTTTATGCTGAGTGCATTGTATTACATTGCATTGCATTGTAGTGCAGTGCAGTGGAGTGGAGTGCAGCTGATGTGCACACTGATTTCAGATTGATGAAGGAAGGCCTGTGTGTCTGTCTTGCTGTCTTTCCGATCTTGGCTTTGACATCGTCATCTGTGTCGCCGCCACCGCCACCGTCACCGCCACCACGAGTAGTTGAGACGATGCTGCCTTGCCTATGTAGGTGGAAGAGACAACTTCCTTAATGTTTCTCCCGTTCATGGTGATTGTTGTTTGTTTTTGTTGTTAATGTTGGTTAAGTATCTTCATCACCTCTATTTTATCCAGGCTCGTCTGAAAGAAGTCCCATATTCCCTCGCTGCCTTGCCTCACCTCACCTCCTCAACCGACTTATTAGTTTTCGCCTGTACATCTTCGAGTTTGTACGACATGAGGAATTAGGCATAAATCATCTCCATGGGAAATACAAATCTTTCTCTGAGGTTTCTCATCGGTTAAACGGCGTATGGCCATCTCACTCCTCATAAAGCGTGGCATTTAGTTGTTTAATGAGGTTGACACTGAAACCGTAGTGTTGTAGCACCTGGCTGCCAAATTACCTCTCAGTCGTTGCCTCGATCGACGACCTTTTCATGGTGAATGAATTTGAGGCAAAGATGTAGTCGACTGTCAACTAATTAACTTTATTCATGTAAAAAATTTAGTTTATTATTCTTTAACGATTTTTAGTAAAAAACCCCACGTTTTAAAGAACATTTTGGTCTATGAACAGATGAAATTTACGGAAAGGTTGAATGGTAAGCAAAAATAACTTTTCTGTGATGCTAATTAACACCTGTTCTTTGAAGTTCTCCCCAGCAATTTGACTGATTTCCCGGAGTAGGTTCGATAGCCTCATGTCGAACCTTCCATCTCTTTCCAGGCTCAGGACCAGCCAGTAAACTAGGCGAAGAAACACCTGTGTGAAAAGCAAGTTTTAATAATTCCCTGCTTTTAAGCTCAAAATGATTTGTATGAGTTTAATACACATTGTTTATTTTAAGTGAAAAATTAAAATCTACCTTTCATAAAATTACTTTTCAGTAGAATTAGGCGAAATTCTTATTAGTTAAAACACTACTATTAGTGGTGAAAGGAAAAAGTTCCTGATATGAAAAAACTTTCACCTTTTAGGAAAGAAATTTCTATACAGCTAAAAATGCAAAGAAGCCTACTGTGGTATTTGTTCAGTAGACCACGTGACATAGCGAGTGACTTTAAAAAGTCATCCTAATAATTGCTGAAGCTACCAATCCCAGTTCGTCTACTGGAAATACCGAAACCTGATTGGTTATTTCAGCAGTTGTTGGAGTGGTCTTTAAAGTCAGTCGACGGAACTTTAATTGATAGACTATTATTACACTAATATGATGGATAATAATGTCGAAGTAAAACCCAGATGAGTAAGTGAACTTCAGATTACCACCCAGTTGTATCACTAGCCCAGCTATGAGATTCAGTCACCAATCACCTTAAAAAAAAATTCAGATGGGACTGTTATGAATACTGTCACAAATAAATTTTAATTCCAACTTGTCTACAATAAAATAAATCAATTAATTAAGGTTATATTAACCGTTTCAACCAACGGTCACTCGGTAGTTTTCTATTTCTCTTCAGAATGGCTATAGATTCGAACGAGATCAGGCTATTCAATCACTCTAATGAAGAGCGATCATTGGTTTATCATACAAACTAGTAAAACCGTCGATAATCAACACAAAAGCAACTATGTAGCTTTTAACGGTGATTCATAAGATTCTAAGAGAAATGAAACGCATATGATCACCCCACTGATTGCTGCTATTTGAATGTGCCGTGATAACTTTGACATATTGAAGTTTTCAATTTATATACTGATTGAATAACAGAAAGCAACTAATGTCATGTCACTGAGTGCTGACCGAATTCCCGTGATCATTTTCCAATATGGGCACCAAACTAGGAGGCTGATCATCGCACTGCATTTTGATGAATGTCAGGAGGATGAAGGCGTTTGGTAGGAAGCCCTGGATCTAGGTTTCTTGCTCGTTACGACTCGTCAGAAAGACGTATCTGATGTTTCCTGTGAGATTTGAACCCATGTCACTCACTGTTGCAGTCAATGATATTGCCACTGGACTAGTTTTCTCAAGGTTGCAGATAGGCCTTGCTGACAAGTGTTAATAAGCCTGAAGCTTAAGGTGTAAGGCTTCTTGCCTAATGCCTGTAATTAACTAACAGATTTCAGTTTATACTTTGAGCAGAACACGTTAAATAACGGAAAGAGGAAAAAGAAAAACGAACTCTTAGATAGCTAGTTCTATTTTGAATTGTAGCTGTCCTCTTTCAATTATTACAGCTTGATCTTTGAGTTGCCACTAATGGTAGGCGTAAAATAATTCTGAAAAAATCAGCTGATATATGACAGCAATATTTCTCTTATCTCTTTCAGTAGTGCATAAAGAGATCCCTTAGAACAGATAACTAAGGTAATCATAGGATAAAAAAAATACAAGACCTTTACTATACAATGAAAGAGCATGAATATTCTAGACAAAACAAGACTGCATCAAACATCTGATTTTAAAATAATTTAAGGAAGATTTATCACAGTTTGTTGAATTATATTCTTTATGTTTCTTACTGCAGATAGGTATGTTTTGTAGTTATTCACTTCAAAGGTTTTATGTCTCTTGTGCTTTGATTTAATCCAATGATATTTGTAATTTCCCGTTGCTATACGTGGTTGAGTTGCTCGACCTCTGTTGGCAGATGGCCTTTTATGCAGACACCTTGGTGCTGCCGCAAACTTATGGTGTTATATTGATCCACGAAGCGCGTTTCGTCCTACTTGGGACTCGTCAGCTGGATATACCCGTATAGCAACAAGAAATTACAAGTATCATTACAACAACTAATACCTGTTGCACAAATGGTGGCTATCGTCCAGTGGCTTATCGGATAACACTGTAGCATTTGAAGTGAAGGATACTAAGTTTGAGCCTAAGTGGGAACAACATCATGCCTCACTGAGTTGCAAGTACATTCGTCTGACAAGTTCCAAATAGGACGAAGATGCATCTTGGATTCCTATGCTAGTCACCAAAGTCAATGTAACAGTCAGTTTAGTTTCAAAGTGTGGGGTTTGACCGTGTGAAAATTCAAACAGCAATGAAGGTAAAAGAAAATTGTTTTTGAAATACAGTGGTACAATAAAGGATTAAGTAACCATCAGTTGAGAAGGAGAGAAATGAAATAATGTGTAAAGGCTTTTTTCACCTGAACGAAGCTTCTGGAAACAAGATGAATGAGAATGGTAAGATTAAGCGACGTTTAATTACTCTAACGCAAAACTGGTTTGTATGTCACTGGAATTGCATACAAGTAAAATGACATTTAATACAGTGATGTTATATCAACTCAAATATCAGTGTCCCTTAACGGAATTCATTTTCAGCTTGTTCACCGTCAGGAGTTCTATCTTCACCATTTCATGGGAAATTTAGATGGCTGCATGAAGTTAGTAAAGCTGTTAGGTTGTTATTCGTTCATCTGTGTTAAACAGTTTGTTTTGAATAAATTCAACACCAATAAGGTGAAATTTGTGGTTGTTTTATGTAAATTAATACAAAACAGTCATACACAGTAAAATCAAATGAAGTACTTTGATTGTGTCTCAAGACAGTTAAAATAATCAAGGAAACCATACTCACTTAAAGGACAGTTACTACCTGAAAATGATGTGCAGTGCAATCCACCAT